TGGCCCCTTTTGGCCAGCTGCTGTTACCAAAATGAATGTGGTCTAAACACGCGTCCTGCCGGCGGTTGGGGGCTGCGTGCTTGGCCACATTTTCACATATTGTCTGGCCGCAGTGGAAGGGTTAGAAATGCAACCCTTTTGCCCTTAGCTGCAAATTATGCCTTTGCATATTAAATAGATTTATATTGTTCTGTATTTTGTTGTTGCTGTTGTTGTTTTTTGTGTTTTTTTTTTTCAACCCGTTCGCATAAAGCAGTTCGAGCAGGCTTTATGAGCCAGGGGCGCCCTAACAAGCAGGCCTTAATCATCACAGACTCCACCAACTTTAGCTCCAACTTCAACTTCTGCTTCCTCTCTCTCTCCCACTCACACGCTGTCGATTGTGAGAGCCTGTTTCATTATATTATTGGCACGCCCTGTTTTGCGGCCGCGGCTGCGCTTCATATCGTTAATTTTTAATTGATCTGCGGCACAATGTTGCAGCCAGGTTCGTCAGCTTGTGCCTCAAGCAGAGAGCAGCAGCAGCAGCAGCGGTCAGCCAGCCAGCCAGCCAGCAGGACACTTATGTTGCATGGCCACATTTCAAGTGCATTTTAATGGCATTAGGCTGCCCACTTGATGAAATGAGCGCGCTCTTAACAAGATCCTAGCGCCCCACAACAACAACAACAGCAACAACCACAAGAGATGAGCACAACAAGTGAACATATTGCCAGCCAAAAATGAACTAAAAAGAAAAAGGCGAAAAAAAAGTCGGGCGACTTAATGCGCTCGATTGCGTATACGCCCCGTTTGCAGAACGTGCATTGAACTTTTACTTTGGCTCAGTTGGCTGTTGGCCGACTTGCTTTAGTTTTGATTCGTTTTAGCTGTTGTTGTTGTTGTTGTTATTGTTGTTGCTTTATCGATCGCTTTGACTTTGACTTTCATTTGGCGCGCATTTTTTGGTAACTTGATTTATACGTGAAGCGTCTGCGCCTTGCATTTAATTTTTGGCGTCACTGCCTCCAGTTTTGTTAGCCTCGTTTGCTGTTGTTATTGCTCTTGTTGTAGCTGCTGCTGCTGCTGCTGCTGTTGTTGTTGTTGTTGCTCTGATTTTTAATCGCGTTCAGCGCGAAATTCCCACGCCAAAGGGCTGCCACTTCAATTCGATCCAGTTCACGTCTCAGTCTATCGCACATATGGCGCACACACAATGAGCGCTCAGCAAAAATGTGTTAATTAGAATTTCGTATAGTTGGCTAAATGACGCTCTTTCTTATTCTTTCTCCCTCTCACTCTCTCTCTCTATCTCTACCCCTCTCTTAGATAAGCATATTCTATGCTCACCCCCGCCCGCAAAATGTGTCGAGTCAGCGTTTGTCAATCACTTGACGCCCGTTAATTTTATTGATGATTGTGACTTTAAGCTCAGCCAGTTAGCTCGTTGTTATGGCTGCACAGCGGGATGCCAAGCATTTGAAATACAAATCTGGAAATCTGACACGCTTAACTGACAGCTGGATAACTATAGCACACCGACGACAAGTTGCTCTGCCCAAAAGTTATTGCCAAAAATCTCGAAATTATCTTGAAAGTATATGAGAACTCTAGAATATTTTAAATATAATAATAAAAATAAATTTGTAATAGTTTAAAAATGTTTAAATATTTTTCTCAGCTCAATATTAAAAAATTTTTTTAATTTAAGCTATCAACTGAACCTTTTTTTTTTTTAATTTGAAAAATTAAATACAATTTTTTTTAAATTAAAATTTAAGCTATCTATCTAAAATTTTTTGTTTTAATTTGAGAAATTAAATACTAATTAATTTGAAAATCATTTTTATTTTATTTTTAAAGTCCACAAATTGCAATTATAAGGAACTTTAATTTTTTTTCCAATTTATAATTCTGGAAAAATTGAAATTATTATTTTTTATTACTATTTTAAATTATTTATTTTAAATAAATGAATTATATTATTAAGTTTTAGGTCTTAAAAAATTTTAATTGTTTTTTTTTTTTAAATTTAAAAATAAGTGAATTTTTATATGAGTTTGTAGTTCTTAAAAAATTGGAATGTGCCAAATTCGAACACTTTGGACTGATTTGAGCTGAAATTCATATGATAGCTTGTCTTATAACTGTCGGCTTATCAAATTTATGCCCGCCGTTAATATATTTTGTTTTTTTATATAAATATAAAACGAAAAAGTCTTGTGACTAAGCTAGGGCATTCCGAATTGAAATGGATGTATTTAATAGCCGTTAAATGGCGACTTATGCAAGCTGATGTTGTTGTTGCCTTTGCTGTTGTTGTTGTTGTTACGCCGTTGAAATACGCCTTTGATATATAATTAATTAAGCGGCTTTTGTGAGCACTTAAATAAAACATTTATAAATGATTGTGTCAAGTGTTGATGTGTTTATTGTTACAGCAAATGCAACAACAACAACAGCCACAACAACAACAACAACTGCAGCTATAAACTGCAAATGGCAATTGCAAGTCTTTGCATGCAAATGATATGAGGCAGCGTAATAAGCATAAAAATAAACAATTTTGCAGCGCTTAACAACAATTTATTTATATATATATATATGTGTGTGTATATGTATATATATGTATGTGTACGAACACCGGCAAGAACAACGAGCCAACGTTTTGTTCAATTTATTGTGTGAAAATTCGCATAAATTAAAAGGAAACAAAAACAACAACAAACCAACTGAAAGTCGACTGAGGCATAAATATTATGCAAAATGCAAGCAACGCCCCAGCCCATGCCATGCCCCCTGGGCGTCTTGACTGACTGCTCGACTGACTAATATATGCCGTTGAAATTTGTATATTTATATAAGTCACGATTGTCCGAGATGCGCCCGGCTCTGGCTGACCTTAGCAGCTGCCTTAACATGCATTCGCAATTTACAATTTGCAATTAGCCATAGAAGCGGCTGCCAGCTCTCCAAATGTGACAAATTCATATCGAAGGTTGCTGACGGAGAGAACGAAACGAAACTGTAATTTTTCGGGGCTTGGCCTGGACTTGGATAGAGTGAGCCAGCGGCTATGTTAAGCATTTGGGACTTGTAATTAAATGCAATTATTGAAACGCCAGCGGCCAAGCCAAGCAGCCAAAAAAAAAAAAAAAAATAATAATAAAATACTGACAAACAAAAACAACAATAAGAAACGCAACAACAACAACTGCAAACATATGTAGCGAAGGCGACTGAAACAATGTTGTTGCTATTGCTGCTGCTGCTGCTGTGGCTTGGCTGGCGGCTTAAAATACATAAATTAAAAATTCGCATTGTTCTGTTTCAGCCAGAGCAACGGCAACACAAAGCAGACAATTTTTCGTGCTGCTCAAAAGTTACGACTTGTTGACTGTTTTCATACAATTCGGAAATTTAATTAAAGGCAACCGAAGCAGACAATGAGATGCGCAACTGTCGGGGCAGGTGCAGTTGGAATTGAAGCTGGAGCTGGAGCTGGAGTTGAAGTCGCCAATGGGCAATGCTCCATGCATGCGCTGTGTATGCAAAGTCTTGACCCTCTCGCGGACTGTTTTGCAAAATCAATACAATTGCCACCCAGCAAGTCAGCCAAGTCAGCAAAAGCAAAAGCAAAAGCAAAAGCAAAGCGAAGCGAAGCGAGTCTCTAAAACAATTGAATTGCATTTCAAGGCAAATGCCACAGGCGATGCAAGGACATTGATGGGCCGCATCCTGTTCGCTGCGCGCGCACACATTTACCACATTTACAGTCGCTGCCATAAGTCAGCGGTCGCGGCACATAAATTTTAATTTGTTGCATATTTTGTCAACGAGAAATCAACAAACACTTCGGCTCCAGCTGTGAATTTCTTGGGAATTCCCTGCGTTTGTCCGCGCTGCCACGTCAGGCTGACTGTGCTCTTGTATGTGTGTGTGTGAGCGTGCCTGTGCCTTCTTCTACTTATATTTGATTTTCATCCAATAATGGTTTATTTATGTTAATGTTATGCAATCAAAATGCATACGATTTAAATGCCAATAAAAAATCAACGCGACGAGCCAAGACACGAACCCGAACTGCATTTAACAGTTGTTCGTTGTTGTTGCTGTTGTTGTTGTTGCTTGTTGGTTATTTTGTTTTTACGCATGTTTAATGGACTAATTTTGTATAGGTCCAGCTCGCAGTGAGCTGTACTGTTGCTTTCTCTTTCGCACGCAGTGACAGCGTGTGAGTTCGTTGCTTAAGTCTTTCGTTTATGCTGCTGCTGCTGTTGTTGCTGTTGTTGGTGATGTAGTTGGCGCCAGGGCAGACCTTCGGACGGACAGCGTTACATATATTTTCATAGTTTGTTGCTGTTGATGCGCGCGCCCGATAAAAAACGATAATGTGCCTTGGCCAACAGCGCAGACACCAGACAGACAGACAGTGAGACAGAGAGAGAGAGAGAGAGATACTGAGTGAGAGAGTGGAAGAGAGATGACAACAGTTGTTCAGCGAGACTTCTCCAATAACCCACACAAAACAACGAGCGACCGCTTGGGCTGCTGCTGCCTGATTATGTTTTTAGTGCGTTAAGTGATAATGATGATGCGCCTTGATTGTTATCAGCCAAAGCGTTCACTCAGCTCAGCTCTGGCTCTGGCTGCAGTCGTCCAACCAAATGCAATCAAGACGCCAGCTAGTCAGAAAAATGATAATTAAATACATGCTCTCCCTCTCTCGCTCTCACTCGCTCTCACTCGCTCTCTCTGTCTTTCTCGAAGTGTGCTGGATTTGTGTTCCAGGAATTATTATGACATTTGAGAACTTTCACGCTGCTTTTTATGGCTTTTGGCGACAGAAACGTGCGCCGAGATTGATGCGCCAGCAAATTCCCAAGAATACAGTTCATGAATTTATTGATCAATTTGTGGCAATGTGTGGAAGCTGCACACAGCGGGTGTTGCATCTACGTCCCAACCAGCTTCTCTACTCACTACTCACTATTCGCTATTCACTATTCAGAGGAACTTACCAGTCTTCGCTTTGGCTTGATCAGCGGCCGATTCTGTCCGTTCATTTTGTAGTAGAGGCCACAGGCATTGCACAGATAATGTCCGGTGCCGTCGCGTCGCCACAGCGGCGTGGAGGTGGCACCACAGTTTACGCACTCGCGTCCCTCTGCAAGCAAAAAGTACAAAATAAAACACACACACACACACACAAATTGGTTAATAAAACAAAAAAGGTTAACAAAATGCATACATATGTATATAAGCTAAAATTTGGTTTAAATTGGAGCTGAGTGCCGAGTGCAGGCAACAACAATGCGCCAGCTTGTTAGGCAAAAAAAAAAAAAAGAAGCAGAATAACAAAAACAATACAAAGTAGCAGCAGCAACAACAACAACCACTCGCTGTGGCACACATTTTTCAGCTGCTTCACAGTCTTGTATTTTTTTTTTTTATATTTTTTTTCCTTTAGGCTTATTTCAATGCTCGTTCGAGGCGGCGTAAGAGGGTATATAAGCTTGTGCTGGATTAAGGGCGTTTATAAGCTAGATACTATGTTAGGCTGAACTCGATACTATACTACAGCTCGCAACTGTAAATTTTAGATCAATTTAATATGGTATTTGAGGATATGGAATATTGTGCAATTAATTTTATTTGTAAATTTTTTAAAGATTTTTTTTCTATTATTTTTAATTGAGCAACTTCATGATTGGCGTAAAATATATTTTTTATATGTTTTTTATTTTTTTATTTTGTAAAATATATTTTCAGATTGGGCAACTTCTTGGTGTCCTTGGTCTTAATAGCCAAGGTATATATATATATTGAGTA